GTGAGTGTTAGTAGTATATTGTTTACTTGTAGTTCAAGTTTGTAATTGTCCATTTGTAACTACAGGATGCTGCCGAACTATACTCACGGTGTACCGTCTTCAGTACTTTTGTCATCACAATTTTTTTATATTTGTAGTGTAAGTATACTCAGATGTGTGCATTGTGTACGTAGATGCTTGTATTTGTATATGTACACAGTTTACTATTATCCCTATTATCAAGAGATTAAATTTTTATTGATGTTAATGAAGGGCTCTTGAACTTCGGAACTGGAGCGATCAGCCGGGCTGTAGTTCGTACGTTGAATTGCATGTGGCTAGCAGTAACAGTCTGGTAGATCAGCCCCTGATCCATCGGGGGTCTAGTCGAGGACCGGGTCACGGGGGCGTTGACCCCCGGAACACTCTCCAGGTGGATCCTCTCCGTCCTTGGATTGAACTTGATTGCTTCTCATTCTTCAAGCAGTGTGTGATCCCCTACGGGTTAAGCGTTAATGGGGTTTAAATCAACTATAATAGTCATTAAGGCCACACAGCCTGGGACAACTCAGGGACAGTGACCTCTGGAAGCTATTATCTGTAACGTAACCCTTTTAACACTTAGACAAGAATAAAAAGGCACAATACCGTGACGGGAACAACACCCAAATAACTCGCACATAGTTGAAAGAAACTTATGACGACGTTTCTGTCCAAATAGGATCGAAACGTGGTCATAAGTTTCTCCTATATGCGGGTTATTTGTGAATCACACAAGAATTCTTTAATCCAGAAAATAGGGAATACAGTGAACTCTCGGGTTGTGTGTGTCGCATCCTGGAGGACAAAATTAACCCGAGTTGCCCGAAATGCTCTGCATAGCCAAGGGCTTTCTATATAGTATGTTATTAATGTCGGCTAGGTCTGTCAAATTGTATCATGTACTAGTAGAAATCAAGGTTATTATTATTGTTATTGTATACACTGAGAGGAAGACCCCCCCCCCCCCCTCGGTGTATGTATCCTGTGCAACTTTGTCGTTTTTAACCTGCGTGATTCCCATTATTTGTTACGCATTATTGTTCTTATTGTTATTAATGTATAACTGGTCACATCTGGTTATTTGAAGCTAACGTAACCTAACTTTAATAGCGTTGAAGTGATCGTTTTGAAGCGCACGTGCATTTTGGAACGATACACCTGCATCTGAAAGCTAATGAATTTAAAAATCATGCATTTCAAAGCACACGGGTAATTCAAAGTATAAAATAAATTTCAAAACACACGTAGACTTCAGAACACAACCTCATAGCAACTTCACTAAGCTACAGAGGCAAAATGAGCATTAGTACGCAGTGTTGGTCTTCAAAAATTAAAGCAGTATTTGTCTATAACTAATGGTATACTATGAATTTATTAAATATTTCAACGCAATTTTACAGCGTCGTTTTACTCCCAGCGTGAGCGCGAGAGAGCACTTGGTTGCATAGCGTACCGTTGCTGCACAGCATCCATCGTTGCACAGCGTCGTTGTTTAGCATACAGCTTCGGTGTGTTTACTGACACAACAGTGATGGAGAAGGCAGCTCCCTCCCTCCCTCCTTGTTGTATTATTTCTTAATTTTTTATGGTCAGTTGATCGCTTAGTTTATTGTGCACCCGCGGCAGCGTAATAATTACACGGGTCAAATGGGGTCTCTTGTCCTACCTAATTAGGTTATAGTTCTATGTTTTTAACGTTAGTATTATATCAGCATATGGTTCTTTATTATCTAGGTAATGCAGTAAGTAAATAGTCTCAACATTTCATACGTTTAAAAAAAATACCTAAGAGCTACCGAGTGATTTTGTAGTTTGCAATCCCACCAGTTCTGTGGAAAATTGCATTTACTTGGATGTATAATTATATGCATAACAGTAAATGAACAATGATAACTATTATTTATCAGTTAGACAAGTAGGAATTTGAGACACTTAGGTCGCAAAAAATGTTCCCCTTCGACACCTACCACTGTCATATCCACAAGTTGCTCTGGACCTATTAATTAAATGAAATATACATACACCAGGAATGCTAGTAAATATATAAATTTGTGGACTGTATATTAAAAATAATAAATGGTTATATATATATACACAATTACATAACGAAGGAAAATATATTGTTAATATCACTCGCCAATTTGACTGGAGATTAATGTGTCATGTACCAGGACCCCCCCCCTTTTGCTACAATTTATGAAAATTTTAACTGGCCAGAAATTAAACATCAAATTAGACAGCTTTTTGAGGTTCCTGGAGTTGTCCTGTCCTGTCGCCTGATATCTCATGTTATGCCGGACTGGCACATTTCCAACAATTTCGCCTCCTATTTGTGAGGTTTCCGCCCAATTTTAACCTTCTTAGGCACGACAATTACTTCCCATTACACTATCGTTGTATCCAATTCAAAAACCAAAATGGGCGACTGACTGCCCAGCACAGGTTTTCCATTTCGATAACAATACTTCTTTTGAAAAATACAAATATAGGGCATTATTTACCTATTACATTACGTTATTTCCGGAAAATTTTATACGTATTTTCCACACTGCGGGCCGGGCCGGAGAGTTTCGTTGCTAAACAACTCAATTGCTATTTGGGACAATGGTGGAGGGACCTGGGTACATATAGATCTGGCAGCCACCCATGGCGACATATTACACAAGATTTAATCCCCTGTTTACACTTTGCGTTCCTTGTGGGAATCAGGAAAGTTTCTCTCATACAATTTAAAGGTATCTTGTTCCCCACCATGATTACATTTTTATGCGGCATTTAGGAACATTAAATTTGTTAGATGATGAGCTTTTGGCAGTATAAGATAGGGTGTTTAGCATAATCACCCAATTCAGCATTTTGTAACTACCTCTGAACCTTAATTACATTGTTTCTCTAAAATACAGCCGCAATTTTCTTATTATGGAATCTTTCACAATTTTTTCTTTCCATCATCAATTTAATTCAGTTCATAGATTTCTTCTTGGTACCCTCTTTATTCAATATCAGAGGATGTGAAAAATTATATGATATATGCATTGTTTAGAAAATTAAAACACAACTTGTACAGTGTTAGTTTGGGGTTAAAGAAGATTAACCTATTTTTTCTAATGGCTTCTGCTAATGAAGGAGACAAATCTATTGGTGCGGTGTTGGTCGCAGTCGTCATTTCAACAGGAGCAATATTACGCTTTACTTGTAAGGCAATAGCTTTATTTACCAACCAGCTCGGTCCTTTAAACCATGAAACAGATTTACAAATTTATTCTAAGGTAACCTCGAGACAAGAAATCAGGCTGGATTCTCCTCACAAGGTATATGATTTAATGTGAACATATGCTGACCAGGACTAATATATTTCTTGTATCCTGATTTAATTCAACGACTCTGTTTTGTAGTACACAATTTTACTGTTCCATAATGATCCATTGTAAAGGGATTCCTCATTATCAGACCAAATTACTGTGTCGTATTATTTTATCTCCTGAACTTATTTCTTTTCTAAATTAGCTAATTTGACACCTACATAAATGGCTGTTATTCCAAATTAGGCATGGTTAAAGTGATTTAATTGGAGACACTTTAGAACTTAGAATAGAGAATAACACTATTACATTGAAGGTAAGCAACTGCTCATATGTCAATTTTTGAAGCATTCACAAATAATGTGGAGAGTACATTTTTCCCATTTTGGATTGGCCACCTGGGTGGGAACTCCAACACTGGAATTTTTTCATAATCACCATGAATTCATCCCCGGTTACTGAATTGCTCAGGTGAATTTTCATCCCAAGCACATTTAAGTTTCATGCTTCCTGAATTAATTTCCCCTCTTTAGTTAGGGGTGACACTAAACTAGTGGATCAAAAACATTTGGAAACTTCAGCAAGCAAACTCTCTTAGTTAATTTATTGGGCATTACTGTAATTCTTAGGTTTTAACATGAACAAATCTCTCTCAGTATCCCAAGTTAAACCCAATACTTACTCATTGTGGCACTTCTTCTCCAGGACATCCTTACTTTATTTTGTTCCTTAAATTTGGACGAATTACTATTTCCATTCCCCTCAGAGGATATTTGCCATTGCATTATTTTTATTAGCCTTCTATAAGTCATTAACAGTTACTCTTCAGTTGACCGTCACACCCAGGAAATTGTCACATAAAATTGTTTTGTTTCATTACCTTTACTTAATGGACTTTCCCGTCCGTTTAAGGTGTGGCATTTATCGTCGCTTGAAGTAGGAACGGGACTGGATGTAGCACCAAATAATAAGCTCCTAAAGCGAAAAGGTTTTCAGAGGCTAAGTGGGTCAATAGGATTCTCGGCCATAAGAAGTGGGTGGTTCAATACGCGTCAGGCAGCTTTTAAGCCACTCTTAGGAAAGCTTTATTATGTCAGCCGTAAAGGCATAATTCTCTTACCCTGAAATTTAATAAGCTATCACCTAATTTTTCTGGTCAACCGACGGACCTGTCATCAAACAGTCATTTAAACTAGGTACATTTTTGTTACTCCTGGCACTACAATTAATCAATCTCAAAGGAGTGGTCTTAGAATCCTTCTTCACGCCGTGATGTGGCAAATTAGTGACCATAAATTTTGGCTTGCTAGGACGGTAAACCTCTTCTATAATTTTTATTAATTACTGCTCAGCAATTATATTCATTATAGGCAGTTAAACAAGTCTTGGTGTCTTACTCAGTTCGCGGCGCTGAGCTTTAATGGTCATATGCCATTCTGTTTATTGTGCAGCAATTCTGATGGTTCAGTCTCCACGAAGTAGTACCCAGTATTGGTCCATGATTCAAATTTTACATCTCTCAGGTATTGTTTCTGGAGTAAAAGAATCGTTACTGTACTTTCTTATTTACTTTTATCCTATGCTGTATAAATTCCCACATTTATTGCAATGGCTCAAACATCCTCTTGGAAGAAAAGAATTATACCTGGGGTACGATTTCATGAGTAAGACACAGTT